AACCAAAAATAGAATAGAAATTTTGAAATAGAAAAAAAAAATAAAGAAGTAAAATATCAAATAAAAGATAAAGGCAAGTCTATTTTAAAGGCAAGTCTATTTTACTTAAATTAATTAGAAATTTAAAAAAAGAAAAGAAAAAGAAATAAAGAAGTAAAATATCAAATAAAAGATAAAGGAAAGTCTATTGAAAAGTAAAATATATTTCAAGAACATAAATAAATAAAATTGATTAAATTACATAAATTCTACTATACTAACGGATGAAGTTTTTATAAGGCCTAAGCTTTATGAAAACAAAATAAAGCCTCACCTTAATTCCTCGTCCAAAAAGCACCTTCGGCATCGAAAATCTCCCTAATGACCCAAAAATCATTTTACACCGAGAATTAAAATTTGAAACTCAAAAAATGGTATGGATTTTGCAGATCTTTGAATACTTAATTTTAAGGCGAAATGGACGGTCTAGATAATTTTTTACAATATACACTATTTTTAGATTTTGAAATTCTAATTTCTTTTCACAACCATAATGTTCAAGCCGAGATGATCGATTTAGAGGTTTTCCAATATCTGTTGAGTTATGAGTTGAGGCTTTATTTATTTTGATAGGGTTGCAGCCCTATCAAAATACTTTTCTATACTAAATATATAATAAAAATTTAAATAATAACAATTACATACGACAAGTTCGGTTTATAATGCCAGACAACTTAGGAAGTTTGGATGTCAGATAGAGGCTTTGGCTTATAGAAATGTGCAAAAAGTTGTAGGATTTCCCGTCAGTTTTGTGTTAAAAAGTTGGACAAATGGGCAATTCTACAAAAGCAAAAGGGGTTGCCGGGTGGGGGCTTTCTGCGTGTAATTTTTCCAAAATAATTACATGTACTATATAATAAAGAAAAAATATCTTTTTATCTTTTATTTATATTTTTCATGAGATTCAAGAATTGAAAATATTACTTTAGTATAAGGTCTCCATCTTTTTTATATTCTAACCCTTGGATCTTTTTTACTATGAATTTTTTATCCAAAAAAAATACTAAAATGACATCATCTCAAAACTCTTTTTTTTTAGGTTAATTTCACCATCTATTTATCAAAACCACCATCTTTTTCTCTCTCAAATCACTATCTCTTTCTCTCTCTCTCAAATTAATGTCTCTCTCTATTTCAACACTCCATCTGTCTTTCTCTGATATCCAAAATTCTAAAGAAGTTCCGCTCTCTATATCGTCTCTCTTTCCTCTCTCTCTAAAAATTATTTAGCCCCTTTTGCAGCTCCAATATACCACAAATTCTCTCTAAAAAACACCCACCGATCTGGAGCCCTATTGCCTTATAGCCCCAACCCACTGATCATTTGGAGGTCACAAAATTGAGCCTCAAACATGGTATATTCATTCTCTTTCTCAAATACCCAAACTGATGCAGGAAGTTTCCCTCTCTACATTGTCTCTTTCTCTCTCTCAAAACACTACAATGTCTCCATCTAACCCTTTTTGCAATCCAACCTACAATAAATTCTCTCTCAAAAGCCTAAGCCTTGTTACCCTGTTGCATCCCCAACCAACCGATCATTTGGAGGTAACAAAATCAAGCATGAGGTACCAATAATTTTTTTTTTGGACTTCAGATTAATGAACTTCGCTTTTTAATACAATAAATGGAGTCAAATGGTTTCAAAATCTAATGCCTTTTTTTTGTATTCCTTTAGGTTGGTGCTACGTTTTGGTTTGAAAAGAACTCGTGTTTTAGACCTATTCTTTTGTTATGTATTCTCTTTTTTTTTATTATTATTATTAACAATCGGACTTTGTTTAGCAATCGTTGGAGTAGGTTTTTCTGAGATCATGTTTGGAGCTGAATTTTGTGATAAATTATGGAAGAGAATGAGGATATGGTATGAATTTCGGATTGAAATTTTGTTTGCAATTATGTTTGTAAAAAATGGGTTGATAACATCATATTGACCAAAAAATGACTATTAACAACTGTAAAAACATTTATGTGTGCTTATTGATGAAAAATGACTATTAAACAATTGTAAAACATGTTCTGTGTATTTATTTCCATCTTAACATTCCTAGAGAATAATTTATTTAGAAACATGGTATATTCATTCACTTAGTATATGGGCCTGAAATCTTATGCTTATATAAACTAGTTGCTCACGCAAATGAAAATTGGCTGCCCTTGTCATTTGATATATATGTTAATCTTATTGGCAGATTATTGTTTATATGTGTACTTATCTTAATTCAGTTGTATATTAAGGATTAGTTTAGATGCTTGGTAACGTTATTTGTTACTCATGATTGGGGGTTGTTCCTGAATAACCGTAGAGCACCACCAATGTTTAAATTTCACATTGTGCTGATTTTTAGAAAACTAAAGCATTATTTTTTTCTTTAAGCAAGAAAGATAAATTTCAATCGTAGGAGGTGCTTTAAAACCAGATTTTAAAACAACGATGTTTTATCAACGTCTCTAAGTAGGAGCCATATTTGTCCCTTGGTTGTGATAACTACAATTTTGTAAAAGAAAGTGAATAATTTGGGAAATTATTAGTGGCAATTAGTAGTCACAATTAATTTAGAATAGTTTTCTGCAGATTGAAGTAATAGTTGAACCTCATCATCTTTTATGCAGTAGTGAACATGGATGAAGAAATGTTCTTGTCAATATATGAAGGTGAACTTCGCAGTAGCTTTAATGGTAGTATGTTGGGGGCGATTCATATACTTTTTCAGTTCATCCATAAACGAAGTTGGATGAGATAAAAGAAGATGTAGCAAACCAATTCTCCATAGAGTCATCTAGAGTGTCATTTAAGTACATCATCCCGAGTAACAAGCGACGCCTTGCTACCGGTACGGCCAGTCTCATACTTTGATATGCCTTTGCAAAGAGAGTCATCATCTTATGAGCCAAAAATACTACCTCCACGCACGAAAAGTCCTCCTGGACGTCTCAGGAAGAAACGTATTGAGTCATAAGAGGTGGAAATGAGGCCTCTTCACTATAGTAGGTGTGGCTAGCATCAGCATAATAGAGCTACATGCAAGGCGGCTCTTCAATGAGAGGTCAATAGAATTTTTAGTAGCAAATAAATGTATGTTGCTGATTTCGATTATACTCACTATGTGTAATGCGCCTTCGTCTCTTTCATGTGTAATGTTATGAAACAAACAAATGCTTGTTGTTTTGGGGATTTAGAAACAAATATATGTGTTGATTTTCAGTTGCAAACAAATGTATGCTGCTGATTTTTCACTTAAGTTCATTATGTGTAATGCACCATCATCTCTGTCATATGTAATGTTATGGTACAAACAAATGCTAGTTGCTGATTCGTGATTGTTTACACTAATGTGGTGGTTTGTATTGATTGCACGAATAAAATGCAAGTGAGAAAGAAGCTACGACGATTTCATTTGGACTTAAACGTAGTTGATTATCGATGAAAAACAAGGAATTGTTGTGAAAGAAATTGTTTTGAACTTTAGAGATGTTGGAACCTGTCGGCATATTGATGGCTTAATTTGTATGACCTCCATTTTTTTTTCACAATTACTCTTGTTGTTGCGCGCTTTACTTTATGTATGTCTGCTTTCTTTACCATGTGGTGTTTAGCATTTCATTGCTTTGTGTGCTTCACTTGAAATATGGAAGAGGAATCAATGGTGAGATGAGAACTTCCAACATAATCTTCACAACCCAGAAACCATCAATAAAAAGATCGACCTATTAAGAGAAGGCATATGACTTCATGAAAAAACCTCAATCATAATCAAGTACAAAATTTTATATTTGATATGTTCTTATTAACCACATCTTAAAACTATAAATATATAAACTCAGAAACATATAAAATGTTTTGAGAGCAGAATATTTTGGTCTAGCCCTTTTTACTAGATGACATCTATAATCTTTCATGAATTATTCACAAGGTGAATTGCATAATTTTATCATTCAAGGACTAACATCCAAATAACTTGGATGATTGAATGGGTTTCATGTGTATTTATCATGCCTTGTAAGATAAATATCAAGGAATTTAAAAATGACATATTGAACATTATAAACAAGAAATAACCAAAACATAAACGCAACTCAACGAATCCAGAAAAATAAAGAGAAAATTACCATGGCTCAAAAGGAACAAAAACTCCGCATATTGGGTTAAAAATGGGATTTCAGAATTCAAAAAATATTTCACAATACCCA